GGAAGTATAGTCACACACAAAAAACACAGTGATAGTGTTTCTGATCTTCCTCAGGGTGGAAAAATTAATAAAGGAAAAACAGATGCAATTGGATGAATTTATATGCAACCACTGGTATAAGGAACCAAGTTTCAGGTACTCAAGTTAGTTAAGTTAAGAATATGAAGCCTCATTTCTTTAGTTCATTTTAGTTAGTTCAAGAAACAACGTTAACAAGTTATATGTGTCTTCACACAATAAATTCAAACCAATAAGTGAAATTATCATATTAAATAGATTTGCATAGAATTTGTATTGATTGGAGTAAAGAAAACACACTATAGCCATTGTATATCTCTTTATAATCTCATCTCAAGAACTAACAACCAGTGGATTATAACACGAAAATAAACTGCAATGGCACTCGGAGAGCGCATACCTCCACTAAGGCTAACACAATATTTTGCCATGTTAAAGAAAGTGAAAAACTATTCCCTGGATCTGCTGGTTTATCCAGATCTGGTCAGAAATGTAATGGGTTCTTCCTTGGGTCATGTACCACCCCTCATGGAAACTAGTTCAGTAGTTTTTGACTGATCCTGCTGACAGATAGACAAAGACAATGAAAACATAACCTCATTGGCGGAGGAAACTATCCTCCTGGGCAGCCATTGTGAGTCTGCATAGAGAGCGAGAGAGAGAGAGAGAGAGATGCTGCACAGCAGAGAGGAGGGTCATGGAGAGGGAGACCGATAGAGGATAGATGAATGAAGACAGCTTGAATGTCAGAGAGACACCGGCAGTAAAAGAGTAAGCGACAGGCAGTGAGTGTGTTCAATGCGTCGTGACATTTATGTCTGCTTTGTGAGAGTAAGACGGCTCAATTTTTCAGGTCTAATTTCCAAAACAAGACTAACTTCTGAATATCATGTCCAATGTGGCAGCGCTGACGTCCATGTTCTTCCTCTCTCTGTCGTCTTTGCTTTTCTCTTCTCTCAGGTTTGACCCTCAGAAAGGCTTTTGGTGCCAGCTCCTGGAGGGAGGAAAGACAAAATGTTTGGGGAAGAGCAAAGGGAGAAAGTACCCTGCGATGGACCCTGAGGTAAACCTTTACATTTTAATCAAAACAGATTTATTCTCACGGAAAAATAGATGGATGTGTGCTTTGAATAAAGGAAACATGACAACCTGACTGACAGCGGCAGCTCATGTCCCCTCCATCGCACTGGCAACATTTCCCACAGGAGTCAGTACAGCGGTGGAAACTGTCAGCCATTCAGATCGTGCCGGAAAGTTACAACCTAATTACTAGGTCTCAGGAGTGACAGAACGCCTGTGAGAGAAAGGATGTGGGGGATTAGGACAGAGAAACAACAATAGAGGGAGAAAATCGGATCCAGAATTCTTTGCCCTGGCTGTTGAAAAGACACCAGACCTGCAAACAACACACTCATTTGCTCTCCCGCAGAGACAAATGCACAGATCTACAATTTGTCCTCCCGCATGCGCTCACACGGCTGCACCTCACTGTAATTAAACTGTATTTGAGTTTCCAACAAGGGGACAGACGGGGAGGACAGATGACGAGGGAGGACATGGCGAGAACTCTGGGGGGGAGAGAGAGAGAGAGAGAATAGGAGATGAGGGATGCACACAGGAGGGAGAGAAATCATTGTTATCATGCATCCTCTCTTTTCATACCACTCTGTATTTAGTGGCCCTATTAAGGAGAAATAAACAAAACTAAAAACGGTGACATATAATTAATCTCTCTCTATTTCTTGTTTTCCCTCTACTCTCGTGTTGTCTTTCTTATTTTCTATTTTAAACTTTCCTCCTTCCTCCTTTCCACTTGCTACACTTCTATCCTCTTTTTCTCCTCTGTTCATGCTATTCTTTTCTTTCTGACCTATTTCCATACATCATTCGATACTTCCCTGCTCCGCTTTTATTCTCTCCCTTTATCCCCTCTCTCCATCTCTCTTACCCTCCCTTCCTCCCTCCTGTCTTCCCTCCTTCTCTCTGCAGGCTCGTGCATTTCTCTCCAGGTATTACAGGGAACACAACGTGGACCTGTCAAAGCTGCTGCATCGCCTCGGACAGCCCCTTCCTTCCTGGCTAAGAGAGGAGCTGCAGAAGGTCAGCAGCATTAAACTCCATCACACTCCTCTCACTGCATGTAAATGTTAAAATCTACTCAAGATGATTTTCTCAGATGGATTTGGTCGACTGAATGATGAAAAAATGGCCCTTAAAGGCCCTTAAATCAGTTTTTTGTTAACTTTAAGTCCCTCCTTGTTAAAAATTAAGTTTTTTAACATGTTGACACATCCTCCTTGTGCCTTTTATATGATAAAATATATATTTGAGTGAAATAAGCTCAGGGTTTGTGATGTCACAAACCTAAACACCAATCCTGCCAACTTGTGGGTGTGGTTTAGTAGCTGTAAAAGGGTCCTCAGGTGGAGGTGGCACTGTGAAGGTGGGGAGACAGGGAGCAGGGGCGGGGGCATAGTATATTTTAAATCCCAGTCATGAACTGAGTAAGGAAGGTTTTTAAATCAGAGGGAGTCCATCCATTCCTTTCACAGCAGGTTTTCTTCTTTCATTTTCATGGTTGTCATGGTAAACAAAAGTTACTTTCCTCCCTCTCTCTCTTTTCTCTCTCGTCTGTGATTCCCACTCAATCCCCTCCCTCTCTCCACCTCTTTCTTAAGGTTAGATAACCTTTGCGTCCATGAGCCGGGGTTAAAGGTCAAAGGGTCGAAGACCGGGAAACGACCAGGAGCAGCTGACCTTCAGATGCACACTGTCTGTGGCCTTTAAGTGAACCCTGAGGTGACGGCGAGGACAGGGTGTCTTGTTTCTCCTCATGACTGTGACGCTGCTGGAGGAGAGAGAGAGCCGAAGTCGAGGAAGTGCTGAAACTGAACTTTTGAATGGATGCATGGATGGATGGATGGATGGATGGATGGATGGATGGATGGACAGTTTCAGGTGACTCAGACAGCTCTACAGAAAGCGGGATTGGAGAACCTTATTGTAACGGCAAAGAGAACTATAGGCGAAAAGGAGCATATGGCTTCGAAGTCTTTGATGCCCAAACCCTGCCCTGAACTGTGGTGAACTCCTGTGCAGACCTGCAGTGACATTAATTAGTCTCTTTTTTTTGTTTGTTTCGTTTTATTTTAACCTTTAATTTATTATCCCAGAACAGCGCTGGTCAGCTGTGTGTGTGGTTCCCATAGAGATGACGTTCCTCCGAGACAAACAAATGCATCCTATGTGGTTTTATTTTTTAAAGGTTTTTTTGTCACATTGAGAGAGAATGTGCATAGACTCAGGGTGAGTGACAGGCTGTTACTTCCCATGATAGGTTCTCATAGGTTTTTTGTTTTTTTTTAAGTGAAGCTAGTTTCTCGTAAATCTGGTAATCTCGTTCACCCTCAGACTGGAAAGTGTTGACTGGAAATGATTATCTGAACCAAGTTGCATTGCCTGCTCATTATCTTCCTGTGACAAGCAAAGCAGAAGAATGCTGTGTCCATTTAGCAAAGCATGAGTGCTGCTGATTTCAGCGCTGAGGACTGAGCAGCCGTGAGTTTGTGGGATAAAACTTGACCAAACTGAGCCTCATGGATGTGGCACTTAATTCCAAGACTCTTTTAAGCAGCTACTGTAACTGCTTGTGTTCTGTCAGTGTCTCATCTAAGTCTCAACCTCCTTCTGTTTCCTTTTTTAAAACCAGTGGCCTACATTGTTTAGCTTCAATTTGAATGCAAAAAAACTCCCTAAATGTCAAACACAGAAACCAAAATTAAAGAAATGAACATGACTGACACTGTCTTTTTTTATGAACAAGCCAGCACACATGAACATGCTGTACATGTACACTCAAATGTGACAATTTGCTGTTAAATATATTTTGGTGCCTGTCAGGTATAACATCAGATTTAAATAACCTGTACAATAACGTTTCACTCAAACAACAAGGATAGTCAAGATTCCTGTGTTTATGCCTCTCCACCGGCGACAGCCAAAGATCGAAGGCGTTACAATTGTCTGTCCTATTTTTGTGAACACAATATTTAACATTTTGAGGGAATATCTTTAAATCTGGAGCAAAAGTACAGTTTGACTCAAGGATGAACTGAAAAGATTTTGGTAGGATGGAAAGAAATTACTAATACTAAATACAAAGTATAAATACAATTTGATGTATTATATTTTAAGATGAAATAATACTTATTTGTTTCTGAGATCCATTAGCTAGCCAGTAGTGGGCTATAGAAACTATGAATGCATGGAGACAGTCCCAACCACAATTCAACTCCTGTGACCCTTGGGACTCATACAATAGCTGGGTGGGTCTACAGCTTATCAGCCATTCACACCTTGACTCAGAGGAACCCAACGACCCACAGAGGTCTGGAGGAATGATGCAGCCCTGAAGACTGAAGAGGTGAAGCATCTTTAAAGCTGCTTTCAGACATTCACTGAACTCCAGAGATCCTCTGGACACTCTGGGGGCTACATGTGTTAATGCAAGGTGCAACTGAGAGCCTCTGGACTTTCTGCTGACTTTCTCTGGCCAGCCCCGAGAGGATTAAGCCTGCTGATGAGAACACAGCAGGAGATCCACCGCAGGACATACCATGAGTGAGTTAGTATGTTGATGACATTTGTAACATGTGACAGATGATAAAATGAAAATAAACAAAAAGAAAATATATATCTCAGGTGGTGCCATGCACGTAGAAGACAGAAAAAAGATGTAAATGAGAGCTTTAGGTTATAAGGGCCGATTCCATTGTCGATGTGCTGTTAACAAAAACTTGATCTCAGCAGTAGAATTACTAAGTTACATATGGCCTCACCTGAACACTGCAGAGATTCCGGCATGTGTAAAAGCCTCCGGAGAAAGTCTTGACCCAATTCTCCAGAGTTCATGTCTGAAAACAGCTCAAGAAACTCAAGCAAGTCCAGTTACCTATGTTCAAGTACAACAGTTCATTCATTCAGGGCAGCACCTGAAGGTATTTGTAGTTTACATAGTTTACAGAAGTCCCTGGAATGCATCATCTGCAAACTCTTGCCAAGGCTACGTTCAAACCTCCTGAGCTACTCAACACGTGGTCACGACAAAAGTGAGTTTGATCTGGAGCAAAACAAAATAACTTTAGCAGCTTGTGTAAGAGTTGAAGTGGGACTGATGCTGTGGGCAGAGGGAGGAACTGAACTACTAATGACTGACTACCTGTGAGAGAGAGGTTAGCATCCGATGTGTGTTTTCTACCAAATGAAGAGGATCATCCAGGTGAGTTTCAAATGTTGTTTGGTAAGTGTTCAGTTGCATGCTTGGTTCAGGAAGTCATAGAGCTCAAGCAGTGGGGTTGTTGTGATGTGATGTGAAGTGAATAAACTTTATCTGATGCTAATGAGCTGATTAGCTGCCCACTTCTGTCGGGTTTGATTGAGGCCTAGTTAAGCTACGGGCTCAACCTGTGATCAGTGTGTATGTTTATTGTGTTAAAAAGTGTTTGCACTGTGAAATGCTGGATGTGTGTTATTTTGAAAACAGAGCAAATTGGAACAGGGACAGAAGGGATGCTACACAAATGTTCTATCATAAAAATTAAAGGCCTGGTTTTGTTGACTCCAGTATGAAGTGAGAAGATTTAGATGGAAGGGATCCATTGGCAGAAATTGAATATAAAATAATCCTATCGATGTTTTCATTAGAGTTTATCATCTTGATTATAGGAATTGTTTTCTTTACCTTATAATCAGCCCTTTATATTTAAATACTTTATATTTACATCTGGGCGGGTCCTCTACAGAGACCACCGTGTTTTTTAAAGTAGCTCAAACTGGACTAACTAAAGATCCTTTGAGTTTTAATGACAACTGAAGGCTACCTCAGGTTCTCCTTCATGTTTAGAAAGAGAGGGTGAGGCGAGGCGCAGTAAGCTGCAATATGCAACATCACCACTAGATTTCACTAAATTCCACACACTGAACCTTAAAAGGACGATTCTTCAGTTCAGTGAGCTTCTTAATTTACTGCTACATCATCATTGGGCTTGTGATGATTCATCTGGATGCTGATGTGTGGATGTTAGTGCCGTTTAAAGGGAGGTAGGACAATAAGATTTAGTTTGCACTTTTTTTCCTCTGAGACCTGTTTATTTGTTATGGGTTAAAGACTAAAACAAAGGGATTCAAAACATAATGATAACTTCTAAAAACCTTTCAATGCAAAGGAACTCAACGGAATAATCTTACGATATGTTAGAAGTAACAAGAAAAGGTCACACTGCAATATCTCAGAGGACACATCTCATTTTATTCTATGGACATTTAAATGGTTTCACTCAGTCATTATGGTTTTGGTTGTAATTCAGTTTATTTTATTATGCATTTAAGTTGTGAATTGGGTGAAAATGAACTGTTAAGTGTTTAAAGAACATACGCATTAAGATAATGTGCAGAGAGAAATGAAATTGAACAGAATATTTTGTAGACATGCTTTTTTTCCTGCTGTTTCGGTAATTAAGTGTTTTGCATGGGTTGGAAGTCTTACTGCTCTTGATAGGGTGCTACCCCAATCTTCCTCTGAAGCCAGTCAAAGGTCACAGTGACCTCATATGCGTCTGAAAGATAATGTATAGTTGCTATCAGACATGCACCGAATTCCCGGAGATTCTCTGCAGTTTCTCCAGAGGAGGTATATGTGTGAATGCAAATGTCAGAGTGAGAGCCTCCAGAGTTTCTGCGGACTGTCTTCGCCTTGCCTTCTAGTATACAATACGCAGAGGTTGATGTGAGAACATGAGAAGACAGCAGGGGATCCCCGCTGGTTTCACACAGGGTCGTAATTCTTGTTCCAGTCTATCTTGAAGCCCTCCAACACAACAGAGAAACCGCCTCAGTTAAAGAAGTACACACAAGTGTTACTGATGTATATAATTAGTCTAAAAATAACACACATCTCAAGCTCATGAGTGTATTTTGCAGCGACTTTCAAAAGCAGCCGGTCGAGGAGGGAGTCTCTAGCAGCCAATTTGATGTGCATGAGATCCCTCTTATTCAGGTTTAATCATTATCCTCAGATCTTTTCCCCACTGCTTTTCCCAAGTGTTGCCAGAGTTTAAGGAATGGAGACCGAAATGAGTGGAAATAAATTATCCGTATATAATGAGAGCTGCACCACCTCTGGTGACATCTCATATAGGCTCATTAGAGCAAAGAGCTATAGCTGGAGATTCAATGTGAATGGCAAAGAAACAAAAATCCATGAAAGATTAAAAGGGGAAATGTTTTCTGGGTCCTTTTATCATTTTTGTTTGAATATTTTGGCACAATGTTTTCATTAGGATTTTCATATGCTGAATAACTAAAATAAAACTGAAGCACAGAGGTTTGAAAAACTAAAATAACATCTAACAACCAAGTCAACACCAGAACAAAAATAGAAGGGAGCGAAA